CCTTCCAAACCAAACCGTTCTGTGATTCTGTTTCAGCGTGGGGCAGTAGTCTGCAGTAAACACCCTCTCTTGGCCACTTGCCTAGAAAAATGGCCCGAGGTGAGCGATTACGTTGAAACAAGCCACATCTTGGCTATAGTGATCTAGAGCAACAGCCCAGCTCTGTGAAGAGGACTGGCATTGCATTGTGTGTGCAACAAGGGAACATGTGCAATAATCAAAAACCAGAATGTGCGTACTGGGAAGAAATGAGACGGAGCATGAAAAACTAGGTATTGATGTAAATCTGTTCTTGCAAGTGCCCTGTATCCTTCCAAACAATGCAACAAGCCAGCTTATTAGAAGACAACCCCACCCTATTTACAGCTTCTCCCTGTTAGCAACTTAGAGTACAGCTGGCTTTAGAAAGATAAGTGTTTGCTCCGAGGCTGAGCTTGCTCTGGACATGCCCACTGGCAATCGGGAGAGATGTGGGTGTGTTATAACTATCCCTGATCGTGAAACAAATTCTTATTGGAATTTTCACTTCCTGTGACTTCCATCATAGTAGCTGAGATCCATAAAGTGCTGCTTCCACAAGTATTCCCTCTGAGGTGCTCATGTTCCTTCATTACCTCTTTCCTCCCATGAACTTTTTGGCCTGCAGATTTCTCCTTCCCTTTCCCAGAATGAGCCCTTACAGGAGTGGGTGGAATTTATGAAGTTAGCCTCTAACTTGGCCAACTGGCCTTGGCTTAAGTTTGCTACAGTTAATGGAAAGGTTCCTTCAGACATTCAGGCAGTGAAAGAACCTTAGAGTTTAGCTTTTTAATCTTCATCTGGTGGGGTCACTCTTGCTTCACTGAATGCAAGAATTTAAAGAGATGAGCAGGCTAACTCAGAGTGGTACCTGAAGTTAGCAGTAAAGACACTTTCTCAGAGACCAGCTCTGATCGCTAAGCACTTTTTAGAAACCAGATACGTGATTCTCTCATCTTCCTGCAATGAAGTAAAATGAAGGGATTGTATGGACTGAAATACACGGGCACTGATCAGTGCTACCAGCCAGTCTTGCTGTGGAAGCAGCAGGGTCATTTTGCCAGTGGGTTTTCTTCAAGAGGTTTTTAGCTTTTTTCAGAACTCGAGGCAAATGAACCTTCATTTCTGGGAAAGTTTACTTTTACCATTTCCAGGTCCCAGCCCAGTTATCTCCATTGTTCTTCTATGGCACAGAAACCAGAGCGGAACACGTGGGCCCTGGTGATGTGATCCTTGGTACGGAAGGGCGGGAAGGGCAGCGGGGTCTGTACCCTCTGCAAGCTGCCCTGAGGACCATCCCCTTTCAGTCTTGCCCTGGTGAATGAAAACATTACTACGCTCAGTTATCCACCGTGTTCTGTGTTGGAGGTTGCTGCTCCTGCAGCAGAGTCTGCAGAGGGAAAGCAGACCTGTACCTTGGCCGCTCCATCCTGTAGTCAGTTTGAATTTAACATCAGAAAGGGTCTGCACAAGGATTCCAAAGTGGAAACTAGACTGTCTACAGTGTGGGCACGGTAGCAATTCCAGCAGAGATGTATCAAGAAACTCAGGTCAGCAGTGTCTTAAAACACGGAGGGTGGATGTGGGTCAAAGCCCCGGTGTGTGCTGGGTCAAACCATTCTTTCAACCGTCTGCTTTGTCCTAATCTAAAACTGTTCGGTTGGAACTACAGAGCTGTCTGAGGCCTTTAAAGTTTTAAAGGAACTTAAAACGAACTGTCTTGGCTAGCAGCTAATGTAACCTCCTGAGCTATCATCCTCGTCTATGCCATGACAACGATCCCATAGGATAATACTTCTTTTTGCTAACTGGGTGCCAAACACCATTGAAAGCTACGGCTAATGTTAAAAATCTAAAGTGAATCACAAATGTGTGCAAGTCCTGCAATAAAGCCTTTTGGCTATTTTATTTTATTCTACAAATAAAGACAACTGTCCATCATTAAATGGAAAAAAAATAATAGTTGTATATAGCATGAAACAGTAGTTCCCTTCACAAAAACATTTCTAATTCATTAGTTTATTACAAAATATCCACTCACAAAAAAGCACAAGCACAATCTTTATACTTGTGAAATGAGTTGATATTTCATATACAAAATAATTTCCACATAATTCCATATAATTTTATTTTATATAGAAATAGGTCATTATTACAACAGCTGTACAATACACTACTTTTCATTTAATAATTACATAAAATCTTTCTTAGAAACATATCAACAGAAAACATACAAAAAAAGCGAAAAGTGCATTTCTTTTTTTTTCCCCCCAAAGGAAAATTCAATCCTAAATGTTATAATGAAAGAGATATGTCATAGTCTGCAGCATCCCGAGTCAGTGGGCCAAAACACAGTGCATATTTCTCAGAGACTTGCAGTGGGGGTGAGTTTAGGCTGAAGAAGGATCCGTGTTGTACTATCGGAGAGTTGCGTGATTGTGCTTACAATTTGAGTTCTCCTTTGCAATCACAATTCATCTAGAAAACAGTCCAGTGTGGGTCGTGGGTGGGGTTTTTTGTTGTTGTTGTTTAGTAATGAAGAACAGTTAGGGTAAGCTGCATAATACTTTCCAGATTCTAAATCAAGGGTTATGAGCTGTAGACCATCTTCACCAATGACTGGGCTTTCTCCTCCATTGGATGTGCTAATTTGGCCACAAGAATAAGGAAAAGAACTTCTCTTTACAGAAAGTGCCTAGGTTTCGTCCTCTGTGCAGTTGTGCAAAATAATAACAATAATCATAATAAAAATAATCTCTTGTTCTCTCCTCAATAGACCTTTGACGCAGTGCTTTTCATACACAAAAGAAGAACTGGAACAGTGAAGGCCAAGTACCTCATGAGTCTGTTGGAATTGCCAGATAGCTTTCAGAGTGACACGCCAGGACGGAGCGGTTCCTCCCGTGCACCCCTGGCTGACGGAGGCCGCGCAGGATAGCGTTCCTTTTTTTTTTTATTTTGCTCTGACAGTACATGCTGTGCTCACGAGACGGCGCACGCCGAATCCAACATGCCGTAAATGCGCCGTCTGCAGCAGCCTGCGCTCCGCGGCGTACTTCTGTCGTAGAGCTTCGAAAGAAACGCTTGTGCAAAAGCCAGAACAGTGAGTACAAAGTCATTCTCTTCTGCCCCATGTGCCCCTTGGTTAAAGCTAATCGTGCATTGATTGTGCTGGTGGGACTCTTTATCGCAGTGGCTGTGGTAAGTTTGACGATTCTGATAAGCTATTGCTTCTTCTTGATGTTAGTTGTTGTTGCTGCTGCTGCTGCTGCTGCTGCTGCTGTGTCTGATGATACCCCATATTTCCTTGCTGTGGTGAGTAAGACGGCAGGAGCAAAGAATCGGGTTGCTCATTGTGCAAAGAACTTGGTGTTTGCACCTACAGATAAAATAAAATTCAGCGTGGTGTTCGAGTCTTTCACACGTTAAAGCTCCTCATCCTCAATGTACAGGGTGCTTAAAAGTACTGCTAGTTTGCTGGCTTTTAGTTCTGGGGGCTGTTTGGCACGGGGTTAGCTTACCTAATGCTACAAGGAATGGACGTAAATTGCAACAGAGAACGTTACAATTAGGCATTGAGAAAGGTTTTCTAATAGGAATGCACTGCCCAGGATTTGCAGGTTATCCTGAAAAGCCTCTTTAGGAACAGGGTGGGCAAACATGTCAGAAATGACAGATGAGGGATGACAGAAATGAAATAGAAATTAAACAGGGGATCCTAGCGTACCTCATGCTGTCCCTTCTAGCCCGCCCTTTCTGTGAGTTTACAGTAGGGTGTGACCTTGCAGTGGTGAAGTCGATGCGAATTTTGCAGATGATTTTATTGGGAATGGTATCTGCCATTGTTTTTTTTTTTTCATTAATTCTCAGCTGTGATAAGGATTTCATTTCAATAACAAGAATTTAATCATTTGAGGTTGATGATACTGTTTCAGTGATGCCAGTGGATATGTGATCAGGTTTTACAGGCTCAGTTCAGCTCCTTTTGAGTTAATACAGAGACACCTCATTTCCCCCCTTCCCCTTTACTTTAGTATGTGTTGAATTAGGTCAAAAAATAAGTATTTTTACATCTTCAAATCACCTGGTTCTTCCAGGCAATGTGCTCCAGTTTATCTTCTTTGCCTTGTGGAGTTGAGAAAATATGTTAATTTACTGAAGGGATCCAGATATCTGATCCAGATCTCATTTTATGTCGATGCTGGTAATTAAAAATCATCTTTTGACTTGTAAACTAAGTGATTTTTTTACTGAATAAAGAGTACAGAATAAATCCTAAGGCAGCAATTTTCTCCGTCTAGAAATACACTTTTAAATATAGCCAGGATAATCTGATTCTGTTTCCCATGTACAGAATTAGTAATTTCCTTTTAAATATTCGACTGCTCTTACGCTGCCTTGCTACACTGGAAGGGCACACGGCACTGTGTCGCTGTCTCGCACATTCCAGTATCTCTAAAAAGGCCATTTCTGCCTCGATCGCGCTCCCACTGACACCTGGGGCCCCATTTGTGCGGCCCATTCGCCTTATTGCTCTGCGTGTACGTGTCCTACATCATCCTCTTTGTCCTACCCTACCTGCAGGTAGCGTTGTTGCTGATGCTGTTGGTGCTGGAGTTGCATAGGTGGCAGAGAGGATGGCTGGGAAGGAGGCGTAGTGGCGAACCCTTGGTTTAACACTGCTTGTCCCATCAGTACGATTGGAGAACTGCTGCTGGAAGTCTGCACTTCCAAACTTTGAAACATTTGTTGGGTTTGAGAATACCTGTGGAAGAAAGAAGCAAACCAGTCAAGAACAAGCTGTTGGAAGCAAAGGTCTTCTCTTAGGATAGGGATGGGAGTCCCCAGTCTTGGTAAATAATTCCTAATAAAGGTCTCCGGTGCACGGGACCTGCTAATGTGGACGACGGCACCGCTGGCAGCGCTGTTTTCCCTTACTCTGTGCATGAGCCGGACTTGGAGGGCAGGATACATCTCACCTCAAAATCCAGATCACGTTTTAGATTCATGAAAGATTCTGATGTATGCACACCTTCTCTTCAGCCACAGCGTTCACGTCCCCGGCTCATTAAACCAAACGGCCTTTGATTCTGTGTTAATAGGCTGAGCTCTGAGCCGCAGCGAGAGGGAAGTAAATACACCTCCCGTTGTGCCGCCTGCGCTGCCCTGCGACTGCCTGGGGGGCGGCAGTCTCTTGCAGAAGGACGGCTGGGGTGGATTACTGCTTAAGCTGCTCGTGCACATATCGCCAGGTACGGTCCCCCCGTCGCTGTGAGCCACGCTGTAGGAACAGAAGAAGCCTCTAAAAGTCCTCCGGAGTGAGGGACGGGACAGAAGCAAAATACTCGGCTCCTCTTGCCAGTCTGGTTTTGCGCAGCGAAACTTAAATATGTGTTGTTTTGTGGAAGGCTGTGGGCAAAACCACAACGGAGCTATTGCCAACCCAGGCTAATTCTGTTTATCCTGTAATGGGCGATGAGATCATAGCGTGGCGTGTGTTTGCCCAACAGCTGTTCAGCATTAGGGGTTAGTCAGAACTGCTACAGTTTGGGTACTTGTACTAGGATGTGAGCTCCTAAAAAAGGGTCTGGTGAGTCAGGAAGTCTACATGAACTGGGACATGTATCTTTGCAAACCAGGCCTCTTTTCTTTAGATGCTTAAAAACAGACCTAAAATGCTGTGTGTTTCAAGTTGGCAAATTTAACTCAAACAGCAACAGTGATGTTTAAAAAAAGAAGTACTGAATACCTGCATTCCTGAGGTAGCTTACAGAATTACTTTTAAAGTAATTATTTTACAAGTAATTCACTGTAAACCTATGAGTAACAGTTGTCTGTTCTTTTAGCAGCTCACAGTTAAGTATAGTGACAAAAAACAGCTAAGGAAAAAAAAAAGAAGCATGCCCAGAAAGCCAGTAACATCCTGGGCTGCATCAAAAGCAGCGTGTCCAGCAGGTTGAGCGAGGTGATTGTCCCCCTCTACTCTGCTCTGGTGAGACCCCACCTGCAGTGCTGTGTTCAGCTCTGGGGCCCCCAGCAGAAGAAAGACGTGGAGCTGCTTGAGTGGGTCCAGAGGAGGCCATGAAGATGATCAGGGGGCTGGAGCACCTCCCCTGTGAGGACAGG